AAAGCGTGGCAGGCGTGGCACATCCTCGACACCACAGTGGGCGCGCTGGGGGTGGGGTCGCTAATCGTTTCGGGCTCGCAAAGCGTGGCGGCGTGGCACATCCTCGCACCACAAGGGGGTCGACAACATCCTGGGGCCGCTATCCGTTTCTGGCTCGCAAAGCGTGGCAGGCGTGGCACATCCTCGACACCACAAGTGGGCGCGCTGGGGGTGGGGTCGCTATCCGTTTCGTGGCTCGCAAATCCGCGTTCGCAAACGGGCGCGGCACATCCTCGACACCACATCCTCGCAAAGGGGCGCGCTCGGGGTGGGGTCGCTATCCGTTTCGGGTTCGCAAAGCGGGTGCAAAGCGGCAGGCGTGGCACATCCTCGACACCACAAGGGGGGCGCGCTGGGGGTGGGGTCGCTATCCGCTTCTGGCTCGCAAAGCGTGGCGGGCGTGGCACATCCTCGACACCGCGAGGGGGCGCGCTGGGGGTGGGGTCCGCTATCGTTTCGGGCTCGCAACGCGTGGCGGGCGTGGCACATCCTCGACACCACAGGGGGCGCGCTGGGGGTGGGGTCGCTATCCGTTTCGGGCTCGCAAAGCGTGGCACGCGTGACACATCCTCGACACCACAAGGGGGCGCGGGGTGGGGTCGCTATCCGTTTCTGGCTCGCAAGCGTGGCACCACATCCTCGACACCACAAGGGGGCGCGCTGGGGGTGGGGTCGCTATCCGTTTCGGGCTCGCAAAGCGTGACGGGCGCGGCACATCCTCGACACCACAAGAGGGCGCGCTGGGGGTGGGGTCGCTATCCGTTTCGGGCTCGCAAAGCGTGGCACGCGTGGCACATCCTCGACACCACAAGGGGGCGCGCTGGGGGTGGGGTCGCTATCCGTTTCTGGCTCCCAAAGCGTGGCGGGCGTGGCACATCCTCGACACCACAAGGGGGCGCGCTGGGGGTGGGGTCGCTATCCGTTTCGGGCTCGCAAAGCGTGGCAGGCGTGGCACATCCTCGACACCACAAGGGGGCGCGCTCGGGGGTGGGGTCGCTATCCGTTTCTGGCTCGCAAAGCGTGGCAGGCGCGGCGTGGCAAAGCGCGGGGCGCGGCGCGGCAGGCGCAAAGTAGTGTGATGGATGAGAATATTGGGAAACATGCGCGACGCAGGTTTAGAACGAGGATTTAGAACGCAGGATTGCGCGTAAATGATAATGAAAAGCAAACGCATAAGATTTAAATTCAGTATGTGGGGTTCCTCGGTAGCGTAATTTTCCGTCCCAGCATCTTTCGCTTCCGGAGCAGATTTGGAGGATGTCTCGAGCGAGGCGCTCACTTACACCCCCATTAAGGGAGCCGCCAGGGGTTATCTCACGGTCCCGCCGTTCGCGGCCGTTTTGTGGGGATGTCTCAAGCTGTTTGCTTGTTTTCTGTCCCAACTTCTTTCGCTGCCGGAGCAGATTTGGAGGATGTTCTCGAGCGAGGCGCTCATTTTCACCTTCCTAAGGGGAGCCGCCAGGGTTATCTCACGGTCCCGTTCGCGGCAGCGTTGTGGGGATGTCGCAAGCGGTTTGCTTGTTTTCTGTCTCAACATCCTTCTCTTTCGGAGCAGATTTGGATGATGTCTCGAGCGAAGCGCTCATTTTCACCCCCCAGGTGGACCAGATTTTGAGGATGTCTCGATCGGTGGCCAGACTCGTGGGCACAGATTTTCTTCAGGATGCCACAGGAGGCTCAAACAGGCTCCAGGAGGCCCCAGGAGACCACATGAGGTCCCAGGAGGCATCAGGAGGCCACAGAAAGGTTCAAGAGGCCACAGGATGTCCCAAGAGGCTCTAGGAGGCCCCAGGAAGCTCCGGGAGGCCTCAGGAAGCCACAGCAGGCCCCAGGAGGCCAGAGGAAGCGCCAGAAGGTCTCGGAAGGCAGCAGGAGGCCCCGAGAGGCCCCAGGACCACAAGGCCTCAGAAGGCAACAGGAGTGGCTCCAATCCCATGTGGTTTACGTATGCTCCTATAGATTGGGCCTCACCTTGAGCACGAATCCTTGATGTTTTACGTATGTTTCTATAGATTGTCCTTCTCCCGTGTATTTATGTTCCTATAGGGAATCTCCTGGGGCACGAGTCCTTGGTGTTTTACGTGTGTTCCTAGAGATTGCCCCCTTCTCCTGTGGCTCGAATCCGCAATGCTTTATGTACGTCTGTTGCTATAGATTGGGCCTCTCTTGGGGCACGAATCCTCCCTAGGAGGTCCCAGGAGGCCCCAGGAGGTCCCAAGAGGCTCCTGGAGGCCCCAGGAAGCCCCAGTAGGTTTCAGGAGGCCCCATGAGACCCCAGGAGGACCCAGGCTCATGCGCAGAGACGCGCTCGTACTACTGAGGCTCATTCACACTCCAATTCATTCTCAGTTAGATTCATGACAGACCGTCACAACTGAAGCCCGTTTATATTCGAAAGCTCTTGCGCCTAGACACTCACGGCGGACAGGTCCATGCGAATAGATGCACACATGGGGAGCTCCACGCAGTGAATAATTATTATCCGACCGCGCCGGACCACCCAATGATGACCATGGTATGGTGAGAGCATGGTGTGAGTATGATGGTGGTGAATAGCGGATGAGTATGATGATGATGATGATGATGATGATGATGATGATGATGATGATGATGATGATGATGATGATTATCATGATGATGATGATGTTGTTGATGATGAAGGTGATGATGATGATGATGATGCTGATGATGAGGATGATAATGATGATGATGACGATGAGCAGATGAGCAGATGATGAGGATGTCTTGAGCGGCTTGCTTGTTCTAGCTCTCCTAAGGGGGGGGCGCCAGGGGGGATCTCTTGGCCTCCGTTCGCGCCCAAATGTTGGGGATGCCTCAGGCGGTTTGCCTGTTTTGGTCCTCAACGAATTCCGCTTTCGGAGCAGATATTGAGGATGCCTCGTGCGAGGCGCATCCTGAAGGGGGGGCGCTAGGGATATCTCACGGCCTCCGTTCGTGCCCAAATGGCGGGGATGTCTCAGGCGGTTTGCTTGTGTTGGTCTCCAACATCCTCCGCTTTCGGAACAGATTTGGAGGATGTTTCGAGCGAGGCGCTCATGCTCGCCCCCCAGGGGAGCCAGATTTTGATGATGTCTCGATCGGTTTGCCTGTTTTGGTGGCCAGACTCGTGGGCACATATTCGCCCCAGGATGCCACAGGAGGCTCTAGCAGGCTTCAGGAGGCCTCAGGATGCCACATGAGGTCCCAGGAGGCATCAGCAGGCCACATGAATATTCAAGAGGCCACAGGATGTCCCAAGAGGCTCTAGGAGGCCCCAGGAAGCTCCAGGAGGCCTCAGGAAGCCACAGGAGACCCCAGGCTCATGCGCAGAGACGCGCTCGTACTACTGAGACGCAGTCACACTCCAATTCGTCTGCAGTTAGATGCATGACCAGGCCGTCACAACTCAAGCTCGCTTAGATTCGAAAACTCTTGCGCCTAGACATTCGCGGCGGACAGATCCATGCGAATAGATGCACATATGGGGAGCTCCACGCAGCGAATACTTAGTATTTGTTTGACCGCACGAAGAACGAGAGAACACCTCCCACCCTCAGGTCATCATCCTCCGACTCACTCACATGTAGACTCACTCATATTCAGACTCACTCATATTCAGATGCACTCGCGCTTAGATTCCTGACACGCAGGTTTCCCATGCTCGGGATCACTCTTTTGCAGACTCACACTCCTAGTACTTCCGCGCTCAGACTCACACGCGCGTTGTGAGGATGTCTCAGGCGAGGCGCTGGTTTCAGTACTCCCAGGGGGGGTCGCCAGGGGGTATATCACAGGTCCGTTGGCGCCCAGATTGTGGGGATGTCTCAGGCGGTTTGCCGGTTTGGGCGTTCAGCATCTTTCTGGTTCGGAGCAGTTTCCGGGAATGTCTCGGGCGAGGCGCTGGTTTCAGTATTTCCACGGGGGGGGGGCGCCAGGGGGTTTTGCACGGGCCCGTTTTCGTTCATTGATGGATTTTCTTGACAGGTGTTCATAAGGAAAGGGGGAGAAAGAGGAGGAGGACAGGGAGGAGGAGGAGGAGGAGGAGGAGAACAGGAGGAGGAGGAGAACGGAAGCAGGAGCAATTAGTCAGTCGTCGTAGTCGTCGGCGTCTCTCGGCCTCGTTTTCCATGTCTGTTCGCTGACAGTTGGATATTGAGATGGACAATGTTTTCTACCGAAGTTTGCCATCACTATGAGATGCACATCTGGGGATCTCCGCGTCGAGTATATCAAAGTGGGGTTCTCGCTTCAGTGCCGCGCACATTCGTGCCAAAATAGTGCGGTTGAACACGGGTCGTTTGAAAATAGGGCTCCCGCCACAGCGCCGCACGCATTCGCTTTTTAGTGCGGCCTGTCTACGGAAAGAGGATTTCTTGTTTCGACGCTTGTACTGATACAGGGCGGTTCTTCCACAATATTGAGTTGCCTCCCGAGACCTCACCGAAGTGCATGACCACAAGTGTAGGCCTGTGCAACAGTTACACGGATTGATGGCGGTTCTTATCGTAAGGGGTGTCTCATTGGACAATTCATTGAGTTGTATGGTCGTAGTATGTTGCATTCCAGATCACGCGCCAGAGAATTGCAAGACGATGAGATGTTCAAAGCGGGGCCCTCGCCAACATACAAGTCAGGCACAATTGTGTTGATCTATCTTTCAAAGGGAGGCGCTTCTTGTAGTGAAGCTGAGAAGCTGCAGGGACGTATGAGGAGGGCTCTTTAGACGGGACGGTGTATTGCAGCACCGTTGATGCATCTTTGGTTTAATATGGTCTTCTGCCTATCTCCTCCTCCTCCCCCTCCTCCTCCATCCTCCTCCTCCTTAATTCCCCCGAGGTGGTCTCCAGAGCTTCCTGGAATCGCAAAAATGCCCGCGCGACCCACGGTTTCGACGGGAGGCGCCTTGGCGAGGGCGCGGACGGCCCCGCAGCTACGCCGTCGGGCCAGCGCCTTCCCGGCAGCACCTCGACCTATGCCTTCCTCCGCCCTCCCGCCCTCCCAGACCACGGGGGAGCTGCTGCCCTCCACGGCAGGCTCGCGCGGTGCCGGCGCGGCGGCGATCCCGCCGCGGGCGTGCCAAGGTGGAATGCCGCCTGTGGCCCAAGAGTTGGCCAGACTGCGGAGGCATAGGGGTTGACACCAACACCAATATCGGCAGTGTGCCTCCACCGAGGGAAGGTGACCCCGATCCTGGTGATGGTGGTAATGTTCGGGTCTCCTCGGTGGCCGGATAATTACCGCCAACACCAACATGTAGGATCATCTTCTCCCGGTTTGAGGCACCTCCCTGTCTTGGTGTTGGTGCCAATTTTCTAGCCTCCAAAATATGCAGCGATCTAACGGGCGATAAGCCGCACATCGTTCAAGACTTCACGATCCGCGCGGTGTGAGAAGCCAGCGCCGGGGTGGTTACGGAACGAACTTCCCGCACCGCCATGGGGGACCCATCGGTTTCGACGCCCCTCGCGAGACATCGACGGTGCAATGGGTTCCCCTCGAGGGGTAGGGGAGGAGGAGGAGGAGGAGGAGGCGGAGGAGGAGGAGGACGAGGAAGAGAAGGAGGAAGAGGAGGAGCAGGAGGAGCAGGCGGAGGAGGAGGAGGAGGAGGGAGGAGGAGGAGGAGGGAGGAGAGAGGAGGAGGAGGAGGAGGAGGAGGAGGAGGAGGAGAGAGGAGGAGGAGGAGGATGAGGAGGAGGAGGAGGGAGGAGGGGAGAGGAGAGGGAGGAGGAGGAGGAGGAGGAGGAGGAGGAGGAGGAGGAGGAGGGAGGAGGGGAGGAGAGGGAGGAGGAGGAGGAGGAGAGGAGGAGAGGAGGAGGTGGAGGAGGAGGAGGAGGAGGGAGGAGGAGAGGAGGAGGAGGGAGGAGGAGGGAGGAGGAGGAGGAGGAGGGAGGAGGAGGAGGAGGAGGAGGAGAGAGGAGGAGGATGAGGAGGAGGAGGAGGAGAGGAGGAGAGGAGGGGGGGAGGAGGCGGAGGAGGGGGAGGAGGAGCGGAGAGAGGAGGAAGAGGGAAGAGGAGGAGGAGGAGGAGGCGAATGATCGCCCACACCGATCGGTCCCAGCCAGGCCCATCCTGGGCCCAAGGTCGGTGTGCACGCTGGCACGGCCAAGGCAGGAGCAGGGCGACTCCACCGGCCCCGGGCCCTCGATGGGCCCGGGCAGGGCCTGTGCACGTCAACAGCTGGCGCCCTGCAGGCGAGGGCCACAGCGTCCCCAGCCCGAAGACCCGACGCTGCGAAAACGTTGCGGCATCGCGAAGATCATCAGCCACGCGCAAAGGGGGGTGGGGGGGAGGGGGGAGGGCTTCTTAGAAGCACCCCTGCTTCTTAGAAGGCGCGGCCCTTCTCTGCAGATGTAAGGCCGGCGCCCTCTAAAAAGCAGCCTCCTTCTAAGAAGCCCTCCCCCCTCCCCCCACCCCCTTTGTGCGCGCGGCCGAGATTACCACCCGAGCCCTGGATCCCACTGCTCTGCTGCACTTGTTGGGAGCCGCGCCGAGCTGTGCTGTCCCCGGGGGCCCGAAGCCGGGCCGAGCACGCCTGGCCTTGGGAAGAATCGCAGGGCCCCGGTCTCGGGCGTCGGGGGAGGGGGGAGGCGGGAGGGAGGAGGGGCAAGCGAGGTGCGCTCGCGTCACATCTGGCGTCCTACCCCACCCTCCCATCCCTTCCTGTGGCGTAGATGCATCCTCTCCATTCGCACGGTCGGACGTCGAGCAGGGCAATGATCGCGAGAGGGTGCGCGATGCATGGCAGAGCACGGCATGGCATGGAGTAGAAAAGCACAGCAGAGCGTAGCATGCCATCTCATGGCGCGGCATTGCGCAGTGAAGCATTGCATCACAAAGCATTGCAACGCAAAGTATGGCATCGCACAGCGGCGCAGAACATAACACCGCACAGCATGTCATGGCATAGCGCCAGGTTCTTTAGAGGGTAAGTGGATCGTTTTCGAGAGTCTTGGGCAGGTCTGGAGTCTGGAGTCGTGGCTCCATGTCTAGCTCCCTGGGCTCCCCGAAGAGCTCCGCACAAGGCGGGGCTGATGGAGAGCACCCGCTGGCTCTACCATCAACATCGCCGTCTCAAAAACGAAATGGGGCTCCCGCTTGGTACTTCCTGAAAGCGACAACGCCCCAGAGTGGGGGGGGGCTGCTCCGGCCCCAAAAAACAACGAATCGACACCGAATGTGGAATCATTTCTGATGGTTTTTTCGGTTGCACATTTTCCAGATTTGGGAGCCGATTTGGAAGGAAGGCCAGCGCTGCAGCGGGAGCGCGATTCGGAACGAGCGGAAGCCCGAAAGTGACACCAGCGTTTCAGCGGGAGCAGCATTTTGAAACAGACCCAAGCGAAAACCCAACTCAAGGGAATCCTGCGTGCTCAGAAACGGAACGCGAAAGGGGGGGGGGCGGATATCTTCCGGACGCCATCAGGGGAGAGAGGAGAGCAGCATTGCTATTGTGCAACTGTGGAGGGAGGAGGGAGGAGGGAGGAGGGCGTCCTCCGCCGCCCCCCCCCGGCGGGCACGAATTCGCCAAGAGGTGCGCCCGGTGCACCGCCAGAGGCCGCGTGGGCTCAACTGCTGCTGACACCTGCCCGGTGGCCATGGGGCGGTGCACGCGCGCACGGGCGCCAGCGGGCCAGCGCCGCCCGACCTCTGGGCTCCCTCCGCGCGGCGGCCCGCGGGATGCCCCCTCGCCCTCCCCCTCCTCCTCCTCCTGCTCCTCCTCCTCCACCGCCTCCGCCACCTCCTTCTCTCCTCGTCTTCCTCCTCCTCCTGCTCCTCCTGGTCCTCCTCGTCCTCCTCCTCCTCCTCCTCCGCCTCCGCCACCTCCTTCTCTCCTCGTCTTCCTCCTCCTCCTGCTCCTCCTGCTGCTCCTCCTCCTCCTCCTCCTCCTCCTCCGCCTCCGCCACCTCCTCTCCTCGTCTTCCTCCTCATCCTCCTCCTCCTCTCCTCCTCCTCCTCCTCCTCGCCTCCGCCTCCGCCTCCGCCTCCGCCACCTCCTCCTCCTCTCCTCGTCTTCCTCCTCCCCCTCCTCCTCCTCCTCCTCCTCCTCCTCCTCCTCCTCCTCCTCCGCCTCCTCCTCGCAGGGTACGCTCGAGCATCTGGGGCCTCCCAGCTAGGGTTCGAGCAGCTGGGGTCCGAGGGTCACGCCGCAGCGCCGATGCATCAGCGGGTGCCGCTCCCTGTGGGGCCCGGGCTGCCCACGCCGACGGCGCCGAGGCATCGCCAGCGTCGCCGAGGCGTCGCCAACGCATTGGCGACGCATCGGGGATGCGGCGCGATCCACCCCCAGCTGCTCCACTCTATCAGGAGGGAGAAGAACGGGGAACTGTGAGAAAATATGGGAAAACATGGGGAATCCAGTTATTTGTGTGTATTTACTTGTGTGTCCCAGGGCCCCTTTACTCTAGGCCTCCCAGATGGGGTCGGAGCAGATGGTGTCGGAGGATCGCCCCGATGTGGGGCGCGATGTTCTCCACGCCGACGTCGCCGATGCATCGCCGACGTCGCCAGTGCGTGGCCGATGCATGGCCGATGCATCGCCGATGCATCGCCGATGCGGCGCGATCCTCCGACCCTTTCTGCTCCGCCCCTTCTAGGGGGCCTCCAATCTACTCCACGACGAGGGGAGGACGTCTTCGTCGTCAAAGGGGGGAAGGGGCGGAGTGTATGGTCCATCGGCGTCTGGAGGGTTTCGCGCCTCGGGATTGCCTTTCTGCAGGTGCGCCTCGTCTAGAGCTTCTGGGGGGAGGGGGGACGGACCGTTCCGAACGTCCGCCAGAGGCCCGAGTTATGACCCGAAAACCATAAGGCGTCGAAGAGGCTGGTGAGGACCAGGGGTGCTTGTATCACCTCATGGTCGGGGCCATGATCTGTCGCAGATCTCACGGCACAATCTTTTTCGCTCACCTCTTTCCTTGGCCCCCTCGTCAGGGCGCATGCCTGGAGCCATGATGCGCCCACCTCCTTCTTCCTGGCCGCCCTCTTCGGCACATCTGATCTCCTCGCCCTGCCGCCATGGATAAAACGGCGCTAGAGTGAAACGGGTCTTGGAGCTCTAGTTTTCGTATCCTCCTACCTCGTCGCCCTTACCTTGCAGATCCTAGGCATCTGGTTACATGCGGCAAACCCCGCCACTGCGCCACCGCAAATGCGCAGCGGAAAGGGGATTGAGTTTACGACCCGTTCCAGGTTAGTGCCCGATCTTGGACCCCAAGATTCCACATTATTCGTGTGGCCCTTTCCAGATATGGCAGCGTCTTCCAGATATGGCAGCGTCCCCTCTGGGGGGAAGCCAGCGGAAGGGAAACAAGGACGGTCTCGCCGGCTGAAGCTTGACGGATCGCCTGACAGGAGCCGGCGGATCAAAAGCGACAACATTTCCCCCGCGAGTGGCCCGCAGCGACATCTCCCGTATTCGGGGCGAACCGCGTGGTCTTTATACCAGGCGCTGGATACACGTGGCAGGTCGGCCTGGCGCGGAACTCTGGTCGGACGAAGGGGGGAGATCGGGTGCCGATGGCAACCCCACCCTCCCAAGTCGATGGGCGAATGGCCCTTCTTTTCGGGTCTCGAGAACGACTTGCGGCCGCAGTTCGGCGGGCCTGCGCCCGCCAGGTCTGGTCCCGGGTCGTTTTGACCAAAAGGGTGTTTTGCCACAGTGGTTCCTGTCCACCCCCGAGGACAAGGTTGGGGGTGGGGTAAGGAATTCGTTGCATGCAGCTAGTTTCGCCTCCGCCGCCTGTCGCTCTTCTCGGCACAGCTGGCGCCTCTCGCGCTGGGAGGCGCTGGGAAAGTCAGCTGCGTGAGCTGATTCTCCAAGATGGCTCCAAGATGGGGTCTTGAGGGATGGGAACCTCAGGATGGGAGGGGATCCAAAGGTGGATTTGCATTGTCTGAGGCACCTCGTCCGTAGGACCCCATTCCTCGGGACCCCATCTTTGAACCACCGACCCTCGGGGGAAGGAGAATCGACACCACCACCACCACCACCACCAGGGGGCGGGGCCACCTCCAGCGAGGAACTACACGATGCCTCTCCCCGAGCTGGGGACAAAGGGGGGATGTCTCGAGCGAGAGGTGGGGGGGGGCAGACCAACAGGGTGAACCCCCCTGGCTCCTCCCGCTGGTGGTCCATGGTGGTGGTGATGTCGCATGTCCTTCTTCCTACCGCACCTTTTTTAATACATGCTCCGCGTGCGGATCATGTATCAAAAATCCAGGGATGTGGATCATGTATTAAAAATCCATGGATTTAGTATGAAAAACAGAGATGAGTTCATGCATTCATTCATTCATAAATTGATCATGTATTGAGATCCGATATCTTTTGAAATCCCATGTATTAAAAACTGGCCTGTATCCCCCCCTTCGTTCGCCCCGAGGTGTCGCCCCCCCAACGCCTCTCGAAGCGGATGCGCCGACCTCGGCCAGGCCGGGGCCCCAGCGGGGCCGGGAGCACTCACGTTGTGCCTGGGCCCTTTTCTGAGTTCCGTCGCCGATGCGTATCCGGCGCGCAGCGCCGTCGCGCTCTCGCGCTCCGAAGTATCATTCCAGCAGTTTGTATGTGTGTGTGTGTTTGTGTGTGTAGGTGTTTCTTTTGTGTCCTTCCACCGCCGCGGGTTGCTCCCGAGCGGGCCACCAGCGCTGCTGCGTGTGATTGGCCGTCGTGCGCGCCGTTTGCTGCTCGCGCAGCCCGTTTTCGGTTGCCCCCCCATCGGCGCGCATTCGGAGGCAATCGGCTTGGCGCAACCCGCGAACGTCCTCGCTGAGTTGGACCAGCTGGCCGCAACGTAAAAGTGTGTGTGTGTGTGCTTCTTTTCCCTGCACGCAGCACGGGCGACTCGACCGCCAGCAAACTTCTGGGTCCTCTGCCTTGCGCACATTCGCCCTAGCGCAGCCACCCACTCGCCACGCCGTGTGGAAGTCGGTTAGCTTGCACCCCATTCAAGCTCTCGCTGTGGTGACGTCACTCGTCCACTGGAGGAAAAAGTGTGTGGGTGTGGGTGTGTTTGTGTGTTTGTGTGTGTGTGTTTGTGTGTGTGTGTTTGTGTCACTGTGTGTGTGTGTGTGTGTGTGTGTCACTGTGTGTGTGTGTCTGGGTCTGGGTCTGGGTCCTCTGTGTTCGTGTGGTCCCCATGGGTGATCCCTGCACTCCTCGCCGGGTCGAGTGGGCCCCTGACCGCTTCTGTGCCCCTTGCGGCGTTTCGGGACCCTCACCCTGTTTCCGACTGCCTTCGCCGCGCCGCTGCGCGCGCGACCGCGACGCCGACACGTGTTTGTGTGTGTGTGTGTGCGCTTTTCCCTCAGGGTCCCCCGCTCTGGCTCGCGCTGCGGCCACGCTCCTGCCTCCGCCACCGTTTTGTCGGCTTCCCCGGCGGGCCACCCTGTGCTCCCAGTCAGCCACTGCAGCCTGCCTGCGCAGCCCGCCCAGCAGCTGTCCCAAGTGGTCCCTCACGCAGTTCGCTGGGGCCCGCCGCCGGCTCTGCTGCTCTGGCCTCCGTTTTTCTCATTTGTCTGTTTTCGGCCCTGCAATGCAGCCGCTATACCCATCCCTGGGTGCGGATGTGATGCCGCCCCGCGCCCGCTGCCAGGGGTGCTGCACCGGCTTGACCGCCCCCCGCCGCCCCTGTGCGGCCTCGCCGCGTGAGCGCGCTTGCCCCCCTTTTTCCCCTCCCGCGGCCGCACCTCTTCTTCCCCTCTTCTCTTGCATCCGGAACAGTTCGCAATGCCGCCTCCCGGCCTGCTGACCGCGCGTGCGGACTGACTCTGACGCGATGCGACGTAAAACGCGCGTGTGTGTGTGGGTGTGTGTGTGTGTGTCTGTGCGTGTGCGCCCCACTTTCGGGTTTTCATGTACAGCGTTGTGGGCAAGTCGTGTGGCCGCGTCCTGTGCATACCCGATTCGGGACAGTGGTGTCGCGTGGTTGGCGGAGTGAGAAATCCATGTGTGCGTCTGTGTGTGTGTGTCTGTGGCTGTGCCTGTGCCTGTGCCTGTGCCTGTGTTTGTGTCTTGTCAGCTCGCTCCCCGCCTGACTCGCCCTACGCCTCGCCGCTACGCGCGTGACCGCGACGCCTCCAAACAACGGGTCATTGTTTCTGTGTGTCTCGTCCTTTCGCCCTGCACGCGCCTTTCTCTCCACCGTTTCTGCTGCGTTGACCTCGCCTCCGCTCGCCTTCTTCCGGTGCGGCTCGGTCGTTCCGCTGCCGCCTTCTTTCTCTGGCCACGTCGGGTGCCTTCGCCAATGGTGCCAGCTGGATTAACACCCGCATCTGTTTGGCTCGTTTTGGATGATGTGAATATGCGTGGCGGCCTGCATATCTATGTGTGCGCGTGTGTGCGCGAATTGCAGTCCATCATTTGCAACAGCTGGAGAAAGTGGCGCTCGAACGAATCCCGCAGTGGTGACGTCATTCGGCCTTGAAAGGGACAATGTACGCGTGTGCGCGTGCGCGCGTGCCTCTCCCGCACCCACCCGCCCGGCACCCGAAGGTCGGCGCGGCAGGCCGCGTCCGCGTGAAGTACCTCGGTTCCTACGTGGGCTGGCTCAGCTTGACCAAGGAACGCGCCACTGGGCGCGGCGCGCCACAGCGCAAACGCCTTCATCGGCCGTGTTTCTTCTCAGAGCTTGGGGCATCTCGGTGACGGCCCACAGGGAGAGGCGCAGGGGTGAAGGGATGAACGGAAGGAAGGAGGGGGCAAGGGAGGAGCATGAAGAAAA